GATTATTGTTAATCCTTGTTTTTGGAACGAACGAAGCCTCAATTGATAAGCAAGCCCTTCACATAAAAAATGGCTTCTTGGAATTCATTACCCCATGTTTCTCATGAAGTTAAGGGTTAGTTTGTTTTTAGTTTGTGGTCTATCGATTTCTACTGAAAAGTCATCTTAAATGATCGCAGGAAAAGGTTTTACCAAAATATATCTACTTTTGCCTTACTTTTTGTATCATTCATGTTTTTAGTGTACTTCCTTTTACCATCTAAATTGGCTTACCTTATGGGTTTTGAATCATTGTAGTTTGGTTGGATTGAACTTTGATTTTGAGTTGGGATTGAACTTTGATTTTGAGGGGTTAAATCTAACCAAACACACCTGCAATCTAATATACAATGCATCCCTGTACTTCAACTCTACTACTTATATGCAGTGTAAAGGCACATATGGTCATAGTGAAGGTATTAGTCATATATTTTTACAAAAGAGAAGAGGAAGAAGAAGAGAATTAGAGTATATAATAAAAGTTGTAAAACTAAAAAAAAAAAAAAACACACACACACACACACACATAAAGAAAGAAAGGAAAGTAAATAAATTTTGCTCTTTTTTTTTCATAAAAGGCAAAATGCATGAATAAGAGACCAAAAGTTAAAGGCACATACAACCATAGAAAATAGGACAGTTATCCGCTACAACAGATCAGGGAGTAAAGTAAGTTGCTATTTGAAAGTTAAACGTGCGAAATAGAGACAGAAGATGCAGAATTTAAGAGACAGCCACGTCCTCCTCTGTTGCTCGAGTGTGGCAGACCATTTTCTTCTTGATACTAACTATAACCAGGCATTCTTCATTGGAATCATCATGCAGTGGAGAGTTTTTGATCCAAACTAATGCCGCTCTTAGACAACAAAGGAGAAAAGATACATGTTGAAAAGATGCTTTCTTCCAACTTAGCTTCTGAACTCACTGACTCTGATACCCTATCCATGTAACACAGATAATCTGATTTCTTTGCCTAGATTTATGAAGAATTATCGTCCATTCTTGAGTATTGAATGAGGCAACTACATGTCCAGACGCAGAGGGATTGGCCTATGAATCTTGGTACGGGAACGAAAGAATCCACCTCATTAATCTCTCTGATAAACGCTGTTGGTGATATTTTAGTGTGGGTGTGAATGCTGCTGTTCCTTGCTTTCCACAAGAGATTAAGTACAATAATAATCCTTCTTATAAGCCAAGCTAGGCCATCCTTGTGAAGTCAAAAAAAGGTTTCTCTCAGCCAAGATCTGAAATCCTTAAGGTTGAAAAGTCAAATTTAATAGACAAATATCCAAATCAAATTGATCTTGAAAAAGGGCAGTTAAGGAACAGATGATGTAGAGTTTCTGCACACTGACGTCCGAACGGGCAAATGATTGAGACATTAGGATGATGTCTATTTAATAAGTCTCCTGTTGAAATATTTGCTTGTTGGGTTTTGTTATTTGTAATTATTTGCTTGGAATAAGGCCTTGAAGTGCACATTTGTTTTATATCTTAGGTATTTTATTTCCTCTTGATAATCCTAAGTATCCTTTTAATTTTATTGCTTCTATATCATTTGTGAACTGTGCACTACAAGTGTACGACACTGCAAATGCATGGGTCTTGACAAATAATAAAGTAATCAGAAAACTATGGTTTCCGCTAGGATCATTATATTATTTTATATGTATATCAATTAACACACACACAAATAAAATGACAATGAAGAGTTGTTAATGACGATACTACGTACAATTTGATGTGTTTTCGGGTGTCTATATCGCACCACATTTTTTTCATGATCCAAAGAAATGTCTCAAACTTAGAGACCCCGCCTGAAGCTGAGAACAACAAGTCTTTTTATATACCGGTGGCGAAGATTGTGTGGGATTTAGCGTAGTTCATGTATAATATCCGAGAAAAGTTCATTTTCATGATGTTATGTGTCAATTTGCCGATGATGGCATTTATGAATGAGGCTAGTTTTATTTGAATAAAATACAATGCCAATAAATAACTAACTTAAAAACTTTTGTGATCAATTACTTAAAATAATCAATGAATACAAAGAGAAAGAGATTAAAAAAATAAAACACGGGTAAATTATCTTGGTTCAATTACCATCCACTTGATAAAACCTCAGAGATTGACCTGCAATCTGTACCATAAATTTTGGAATGTTTCTTTGAGCCGATCGAAATTGATAAAGCAAAAGTTGAAATGAACAAATAATGATGTTTGTCTGTTTGTCAATAATATTTTTAATATTTTATTTTACTGGTTTGTCACTATTTCAATTATTTTAATGTTTTGCTTTATTTTTTTCATTTATCTTGTCATTGTATGGATTTTCTAACTCTTCAAAAGCACGAGGTATTTTATTAAGTATTTTAATATTTTGTTTTACTTTTTATTTACCGTGTGAGGTCATAAACCATCTCGATTATTTTAGTTTTAATTAGGTAAATAATTTATGCTGAACTTCTCTGATGAGAGCCTTTGTCATTTGTCTTAGGGTTCCCAATCAAAAATAAATCCAAGCAATACAATATAGTGCAAAACTCGGGCCGTTTCACTTTGAGGAGCCTTTATTTAAAATCCTAAGCAAACTAAGTATCAGAAATAAAGAATTGAGTTGGAAAGGGATTGATTTTCTTTTTAACTAACTAATTGGCAAAATTTAAAAGGATGTAAAATGAGTAAATAATTTTTAAATTTTTAGTTTATAAAATGGATATGAACGAAATAAGCAAAGTGAATTAACAAGTGACAGCAAATGGAAAAGCAATCCTCTAGCACAATGATTAAGACTATCATTACTTCAATTAATTTGGGAGTTAGCTAAATTCAAAGGACTCTAAGGGCCACCCTTTAGACTCAATTTAATTAGACTAATCAACACCAAGCCACCTTGCATATTAATTATTCACAATTAAAATGTTTCAGCACAATTAGCCAAAACGAATATCAAAGAAAAGCAATTAACATTTTTATTCCAATAACCAAGCCACTTTGAATTACCATTGAATATTCATAATAATTTCAAAACATAGTCTGACCCAGTACAATGTAAAGAAATTAAAGCTAATCACAGAATAATGTTAAATGCTAGTCAAAGATTCCAACAACTACAACCAATCTCAATACAAATATAAACCATCACAGCCCATTCAAACATCATAAAATTCATTCAAAGACCTATAAATCACAATTATAATGAAAGAAGTAAAGATTGGAAGAGCTGAAACTCCCATCTGAAGCTCTAAGTTCAAGCCATAACCATTGCTCTAGAGAATTGGAAGGATTTAGCTAAGGCCCTGTATCAGTAAAGCTCCACCGTATGATTTAATAATCACAGCCATAGCAAAAACAAAAAAACGCAGCGAAAGGTAGATGAATGCTGAAGGACGGGTTTTGGTTGATGAGAGACAGAGAGGGGAGGTGAAGCCGAGACTATGGAGGTTTGATTTCTCCGTTCAACCGCTCTGCTTCTATTGCAACGCGTCTGGTCCTTTGGTCTCGCTGTCTGCCTCGCTGTTCCACACAGCCGTCAACTTTACTCCCCTGGCACCGTCGAGCTCTGGTCCTCTTCACGCCGTCAGCTCGCTGGAGATGATGATGAATAGTGCCGTCGCTGGTCTGCTCTGTCCCGCTGTTCTCTTTTTCCCGCCGCTGGCACTCTGTTCGTTAGTGTGTTTCCGTCCAGCCCGTCTCGTCCTCCCTCTCCAATATGATGATAATGGATAATAGGTTATTAGGTGGTTGCGTTTTGCTCCCTTTTTTTTAATTATTTTTTTATTATATATTTTTTCTTTTTTTTTAATTTTCATTTTTATTTTTAAATCTTCCAAAAACTTGCAAACAAAATTCAAGGATAAGGTAGTATTAATTGTCCTCAAAAATCAACCAAAAATATGACAATTTTACCCCTATAAAATAATAATTGAAAATAAAATATATTAACTCAATTAACAATCAATTAAGGCCAAAAAGACTAATTAAGTTGACAAAACCCATATAAAAGATATCAAAATAGATAAAAATAATTGAGTTTGTCATTCTCCTCCAAATTCTAATGCATGCATCTCCTCTAATTTAAAAGTTAAGTAACGGTCAGTATTTTTTTAAAATTGTTTTATTAAAATTGTTAGTTAAATCATACCCAACCTCTCGTCCAAGCTTTAATGCATGTATCTCCTCTAATTTAAAGCTAAATAATGCTCTTTAATTTTTTTATTAAAAGTTTCATTTAAATCGCATTTATTTTCTGCAAGAATAGTTTTAAAGCCATTGAAGAAATTGGCCCCCAAAAAAAATTTACAAAGAGCCATGAACGACCTAACGTGCACTTACTGAAAGCATGGTTTAGTTAGGCACATTTTATTATGCACATGTGGGCCATGGAGTCCTCCTTTGACTCTTTTCTTTTATGTCACATTTAAGACTCCCTACTAGTGTCGAATTTATTGTCATTCAATAGATAGTTTATAATATAATAAATGAGAAATTATTAGCCTTTTGTAAAATTAGGTTGCTTTGATATTTTTCTGCCAACTTATGTTTGCTTTGCATGTATTTATAACAGTCTGATTCTTATTACAAGTTACTTGTATTTATTTTTACATACTAAATAATACATTGAATTGATAAAATTTTCTAAATTTGTCCTTACTAAATTTTTTCTCTCTATAAATTTACTAATCACTCTCACTTCTCTCCTCTATCTCTCTTTCCAATAGAAATTGAATAAGAATAAAATTGAAAAATGACCATTAATAACCTTATAAAGTGAATATAAACTTGAGTTCATTCCTGAATATAAGCTGTCATAGTTAATTCCAATATCCAGAACCAGTTCCTACTGGTAAATTCCTTGTTACAGACAAAAACATCATATTACATTGCTGATTATTGTTAAGCTTTCTTCTTTAGAAACAACTAGGCCTCAAGTAATAAGTAAGCCTTTCACATCAAGAATGGCTTCTTGGAATTCAGTACCCCTCCATGTTTGTTACGAAGTTGTGGGTTGGCTTGTTTTTACTTTGTGGTCTACCAGCTTCTACCCGCAAGTCATATTAAATCATCGCAGGAAAAGGTTTCAATAGAACAAATCTACTTTTACCTTCCTTACCTTTTTATCATTGGTTTTACTATGCTTTCTTTTAACCATTCTAATTTGGTTCATCTTATGGGTTTCGAATTATTTCAGTGTGGTGGGATTAAATTTTGATTTTGAGGCATTGAATCTGACCAAGCACACCTGCTATCTAATATACAATGCATCTTTGTACTTCAGCTCTACTATTCAAAAGCAGTATAAAGATAAATATGGTCATAATGAGGTTAGATCATATATAATCCAACAATAAATGCTAATTATCATAGCTTCAAATTTGGATATTATAAAAAACTTTTTTTCTCATTTACCATGTATGCTTCAGATGATACCCGTAGCAGCAAATGATGTTGCTTTCTCATCCCATGCTGTCCTACTCACAATTTTTACCATATTCCAGATGGCAATCTATGATGTTAGTACCTTGCTTTCCTTTCCATTGAGATCTTCGTACTTTTTTATGTTTGTTATTTTTCTTTGTTGTCATCAATGGTTAAAATTTCTTCTTTTTCATATTGTAGCGTGGAAATCAGAAGGTGTCAAACATAGCTTGTGGGCTTCTGTTTGTTGCTTGGTCAGTTGCTGCAATATGCTTCTTCATTGCTTTGTCTAATCATAATTGGCTCTGGCTTCTCTCAATATTAAGGTATCTTTTATTCTTTCTTAACTACACACTAATTTTCTTTTTCCCACTCATATGGATACATAGAATAGAATGTTTATTTGTCATCGATATCCTTCTAATAAATTTTGTTGAAATTCACTATTTTGCAGTGGCATTCAAGTTTGTGTGACGGTTATAAAATATCTGCCCCAGGTTAGGATTTATTGTTTCCATTTTCTTTTCAACTGTACATTGTTTTTGAAATTTGTGTTAAAAAGGAATATGTTTATAGGCTGTGACGAACTACAAGAGAAAGAGCACAGAAGGGTGGAGCATTGGAAATATTTTGCTGGACTTTTCTGGAAGCATAGGAAACTATGCTCAAATGGTTGTACAATCCATAGATCAAGGTTTGTCTTAATAACCCGCAGTTATATGAAGCATGAATCGTTCTGACTTAGTAATCTCGTACTAATTGAATGTCAAATCTCAGGTTCTTGGGTAAATTTCTCAGGAAATATAGGAAAACTAATGATTTCTCTGGTATGGATCATCACTCTCTTATATAGACATCAGTTATAATATGCTCCTCCGGTTCTAAATATAAGACCCATTTTATAGTGTAAATTACACTACAAAATAGGTGTTATATTTAGGACTAGAAGGAGTACAATGACAATGAAGAGTTGTTAATGGTGATATTACAATTTGATCTGTTTTCAGGTTTCTGTATTCTACAACATTTTGTTCATAATCCAACATTATATATTATATCAACGAAAAATAGTCTCAAACTCAGAAACCCCGCCTGAAGTTGAGATCGACAGGTCTTCTGATATACCAGCGATGAAGATTGTGGAGGATTTAGCGTAGTTCAGAATATCCGAGAAAATTTCATTTTTATGATGTTATGTATGTCGTGACAATTTAAGGGCTACCCTTGAATCAATTTGCCGGTGATGACATTTATGAATGTACTCCCTCCAATTCAAAATATAAGCTAAACTTTATCTATTACGTTGATCAAAAAACTAATTAAAATCAATTTAAAACAATAAATGTGTAAGGCATATATTTGTTTTTCCTAATATACCATTATTAAGGAAGACAATAGTAAAAAATGTAACAAATGAATTAAAGAGGAAAGAGAATATACGGGGATAAAATTGAAAAAAAAAACTCATTAAATGCTTGGACAAAAGTGAATATTAATATCTTGAAAAATAAACCAACATCTTTAAGAAAATTTAGCTTATATTTTGAACCGGAGAGAGTAGCTAGTTATTTGAATAAATAATTACCATAAATACCTAATTTAAAAACTTTACTTGTGATCAATTACTTAAATAATCAATAAATAAGAGAAAGAAAAAGAAAAGAAAATAAACATGATTAAATTATCTCGGTTCAATTACTATCCACTTGAAAAAGTGATGTGAAACAAGAAAGAAAATTGAGAAATTAAGGAGAAAAGAAGAGAAATTAGGAAAGAGCAGAAGAAAGAGAAGAAAGCAAAAAAAAAAAAAAAACCTGAAAAGGAAAAAGTCTGTAAAATTCAATCGTACTGACTTCAAAATGAAACCCTAATAATATTTAGCGATTTTCGTGCTGCAAGTATATCATAAATTTGGGAAACTGTCTTTTGAGCCGAAATTAATAAAACATAAGATGAAATGAACAAAAGTGATGTTTGTGTGTCTGTCAATAATATTTTTAATATTTTATTTTACTAGTTGTTACTATTTCAATAATTATTTAATATTTTGCTTTATTTTTCCATTTATCTTGTCATTGTATGAGTTTTCTTACCTCCTCAAATGCACAAGGCATTTCATTTAAGTTTTTTTTTTAATTTAACGTGTGAGATCATAAACCACCCCGATTATTGGATTTAGTTTTACTTCAGTAAATACTCCCTCCGTTCTTTATTATAAAGACATTTGATGTTTATAGCATGTTCCCATATATAAGAGACACTTAAAGTTGTCTCTATTTTTTTGTATTGATTTCTTATTTTACCCCTATTTATTTGTCTCCAACTCATACTCTCTCTCCCTCCCACTTCTCTTTCTTTTAATAATTTAATTGTTCTCTTTCATATTTTCTCTCCTTATTAATGGGGGCATTGTTGGAAAAAACATTATACATTTTACACATTAATTGTCCTCAACTAATTTTAACTGTTTTTTTTATCAACGTAATTTGATTATTTGTCTTTTATAATAAGGAACGGAGGGAGTAATTAATAGTGAACCTCCGCGCCAAGCTCTCATGCATGCATCTCCTCTAATTTAAAGGCTAATTAATGATCATTAATTTTTTTATTTTTTAATTAAAATTGCCAGTTAAATACTCCTAACATTTATTTTTGGCAAGAGGAAGAGGAAGAGAAATCGAGAATACAATAAGTTGAAAAACTTTTTGGGAAAAAAAAACAAACAGAGAGAAAGCAAAGTAAAGAAAGGAAATATTTACTTGTTGGGTTCTCTTATTTGTAATTATTAGCTTTGGAACAAGGCCTTGAAGCGCATATTTGCTTTATATCTTGGCTGTTTTGTTTCCTCTACATAATGTTAAGTATCTTTTTTATTTTATTACTTATGTATCATTTTGCGAACTTTGCACTGCAAGTGCACGAGTTTCGCACTGCAACCACACATGTTTCGCATTGTAATTGCACAAATCGTGACATAATAAAGCAATGAGAAAGTATCATTTTCACAAAAATGTGGCTTCAAAACTCAGTTTAGTTTGATTCTCAGTCTTTGATCTGATTTGAGTGACACGAATATTAAGAGTGAATTTTCAAAATGTTGGTTAAAATTAGTTCAAGTCAATAAAAATGTAAAAAAAAAAATTGTTTTGCCAAAAATACCCTATGTGGAAGAGACATAATGTGCAGTGGAGAGAGAATATGTGAGAATTAAATAAAATAATATGAGTAATATGAATTATTAAATGAGAGCAAAATAGAAAATCAAAAAAAAAAATTGAGACAACCTCTAAATATCTCTCAAAAAATAAACATATCACACTGAAAAATTATCTCTTATATAAATAGAAACAAAAGGAGTATTCCCTCCATCCCTAATTATAAGATCCTATTTTTTGAATTGATTTGTCCTTTTTTATAAGGTCCCTTTTGAGTTTGTCTAAACATTTAATGCATTATTACATATTTTAACCCTAATAAATTTTATATATTGCATTGAACACAGTATTCTCTCTATTTATCTTACTATTACTCTCTTAAATTTATTAGGGGTATATTTGAAAAAAATTATATTTATTACATATTAATTGTTTTTAACTAATTTTAACTGTTTTTTTAAAAAATACAATTTGACGAAAAGGTTTTTATAACTAGGGACAGAGTAGTAATTAACAATGAACATCTCCCCCAAGCCATAATATTGTGCATGCATTTCCTCTAATTTAAAAGCTAATTAATGCTCCTTAATTTTTTTTATTTTTTTACTAAAATTGTCAGTGAAATCATTTATTTTCTGCAAGAATATTTACATGGTGCATGCACCAAGAGCAATGCAAAAAACGACCTCACATCCATTTATTGAAAGCATGTGGCAGTTGGCAAATACAAACGGGGGCCACAGAGTCCTCCTTTAAAGAGCACACAATGCCCCATCACTTTCTTTGACTTTCTTTTTTCACATCTTTCGAGAATTTAATTATAATTTATATTTTTATTTTTTATTTCTAATTAATCATATGCCTTCTTGTTCTCTTTTTTTTAACTTATTTTTTGTGTGTCATTTTTCATTCTCTCTCTCTTCCATTTATCCTCTCCATAAAGTAAAGTATTTAAGAAAAATAAGTTGCATAATATATATTTATTATTTTTAACCAATGTTAATTAACTTTTTGAGTTGTATAATTTAGTTGACCCAAGGTTTTTTTTTTTAATTTAGTTATTTGATGTTTATGTTTTGAACTGAAAGGAGCATCGCTCCCTATTTTGTTGAATTTATTATCACTTTATTATCATTTAATAAATAGTTTATGTCACTTTGGTCCTAAATGTAAATCATTTATAGGGAAAAGTTTTGGTTCTACATATAAGTCATTTTTAGTATATTTAATACTTGTTTTTCAATTTTACCTTATTTAATTCTCATTAAAAAAAAGAAAAAGAAACGAGAGATAAGAGAATGTGATTTGTAAAGGTAAAAGAAGGATAAAACTCTAATAAGGATGTATTACAAGTGAATTACTCCTTTGGTCCTATTTATAGGGTAGAGAGAGAAGATTTTTTTCTTATTTATAAGTAATTCATTAAATTTTTTAATGTGAAAATATTATTTTATTCTTCATTTATTATGGTTTAGGTAGTTATCTCTTTTGAAATGTGTATATATTAAATATGGGTAAAGTTAGAAAATTGTTATATTTTAATAGAGAGTTAATGCATTTTAAGATTTTCCTTAGTTTGTGCGAAATATATTAGAAGTGCCTTATAAATAGTACCAGAAGAGTACATGTTAAGGACCAAAGTAGTAATACTCCCTCTAATCCAAATATAAGTCATTTTAACCAATTTATTACTATCAAAAAGTGGTAGCCAATTCATTAAATGTGTTTCAAATTGAAATTTTTTCCAACTTACCCATATTAAATGAGGTTGTAAAAAAAAAAATAGAAAAACACAATGTCACGTTTAAATATTAATTACAATAATAAAATTGACCAATAAGCATTAATTTAAATCACTGGTAACTCTTACGTGCTAAGGAATACATTAAATTGATGCAATTTTCTAAACTTTCCCTTATTAAAATTTTTTTCTCTTTATATTTACAAATCGTTCTCACCTTTGTTCTCTTTCCCTGCTTCCAACAAAAATTAAATAGAAAAAATTGAAAAATGAACATAGGTAACTGATATTTTATACTAATTTTCCCCCTACAAATGACTATATAACGGGGGTGGTATGACTTTTATTACCATTAATCAAATTTGAATTGGAGTAGTTAGTTCCATAAGCTGTCACAGTTTATTCTAGTGGCTGGAACCAGTTCCTACCGGTAAGTTTCTTGCTCCAAACAAAATTATCAATATATATGCTTGTGGAAATCAAAAAGTGCCAAAACTAGCTTGTGGTATTGTGGCAGTTGCTTGGTCAGTTGTTGCAATATACATGCTTCTTCATTGCTTTGTCTAAACAGTATTGGTTCTGGCTTCTCTCTCAATATCAGGGTATGTTATATATGCTTTCTTAAGTAAATAATTTTTCCTTTTACGATTGTATGTTATACATAGATTAAATTAAATGAATGATATGATGAAGCATGCACATATAGAGTTGGAATTGATTTCCTTTTACAATTGTATGTTATACAATTTTCGAGTGGCATTCAAGTTTGCATGACCATCATAAAATATATTCCCCAGATAAGGATTTATTTTATTTTATATTCAACTTTAGTTTTTGGAATTTATGTTACAAGAAATACATGTTTATAAAGCCTTCTTGGGAGAAACAAATGTGTACTTTCAATTGATCAAAAATTCAAAATAAATAACCTCCTAAGGGAGTGTCTTTTCCCCCCCCCCCCCCAGAAAATGGCTTTAATTTGGTCCTCTTGAAAATTGTTCTTCGTTTAATTTGCTTGGTTGGCATACTATTATATATCATTAATGACATCCCCATTGAGGTTCTATTATTGCAGGCTGTGATGAACTTCATGACAAAATGTACAGAAGGTTGGAGCATTGGTAATATTCTGTTGGATTTTTCTGGAGGCATAGGAAACCATATTCAAATGGTTATGCAATAACCTATGGATCAAGGTTTGTCACAATACTTACAAAATTTCAAATAGAGTAAAACTTACACTGACAAAATTTCCAATCTC